AATGAAACAGTCAGGTTTTTATATTGTAAAACTCAAGTTAAATGAAACAGTCAGGTTTTTATATTATAAATCTCAAGTTAGATGAAACTGTCAAGGTTTTATATTGTAAAACTCAAGTTAGATGAAACAGTCAGGTTTTTATATTATAAAACTCAAGTTAGATGAAACGGTCAGGTTTTTATATTATAAATCTCAAGTTAGATGAAACAGTCAGGTTTTTATATTATAAAACTCGAGTTAGATGAAACAGTCAGGTTTTTATATTATAAATCTCAAGGTTTTTTAAACCAAAGGTCAGGCGTATTGGCTTCCTTTGCACTCTGTCCTACTTTATCAAAAGAACCAAGAATATATACAGTAGGTTAGTCTTAACAATGTTTTTGCATCACATTAATCTTTATATTTTGAATCTTTTCATTACTAATTTTTCTCACAATTTAACGATTGGGTAGTTTTAACTGAACCAAGAAAAACCACTAGGAAAAGGTCTAAAATGAAACTATTTATGGAGATTTTTGCAATCTGTTGTATTAAACCAGTTGAACTATCAGTAAAAAGCTTAAAATATTTGTATTTTTTTTCTTCAACATGTCAAGTGTGTGTATCTTCCAAATAACAAAGTTTTTCATCATCTTATGCTCTTTGGTTCTTCTACTGTACATTTACAAATATGTACTCTTAAGTAGACCACTTATAATCTGCAGAGTTATGAGGCATTGTGCAATGTTTAATACTGATAAGGTTATTTAAAAAAAGTTCAAACTGTTATATTTATTTTATATAGAATTTGTTTTAAATGTGGCTAAATGAAACAGTGTCCAGTGAAAACTTAACAAATCAAAGAACTATCTAGTAGGTTTTTATTTGTTTAGGAAATTATTTTGCCAGTCACTTCATTATGGGAGGAGAACGATTTGAAATAAACCAGCCAGAAGCATATTTGTTTGGTGAAAACATGGATTTGAACTTTCTAGGGGGAAAGCCAACACCGGTGAGTATGTTAGTACAAATGTTATTGCCATTCACAATGTTACAGAAACAAACATTTGAAATTAGAAAGAAAACATCCTTTGAGTGTGTGCTTAATAAATTAACTATAAAAATGTGGCTAATGCAAGAAAAGTGTTACATTTGATTAAGTGTACTTTCACTATAAAAATTTACTTGGAAAAAACAAACCCAACAAAAAACCAATAGCAATTGACCTTGGAGTTAATTGATTTTATGTTATGAAATTAATACAAGTTATGAACTAAGAATATATTTTATTTACTTGTGTAATAATTTAGACACAGAAGAATAGAGAATGTACATTTATGTTAGAATGTGCTCGAAATAAAGCGAACTTATGTTTTTTACAGTTTCCCTATCCGGCTCCGCAAGCATGTGAAGCCACTCGTCCACTGAGGAGTTTGATCAATATTAGAAAGGAGTCGCTACGCTTTGTTAAGTAGGTTTTCATTGTTTCTCAGTGAACCTTATGTAGATATATATATATATATATATATATATGTTATGATACACCTTAGATAAACTGAATTGTACTTGCAAGGGAATTAAAGTTACTATCTGTAGAGCTGGGTTACTTACCTCCCAGTACCCATGAGTAGTGATTATATCAATTAGTGTCATATAATTTAATTGAATAACCAAAATTATGATTAAATTGATTAATCATAATTAGTGTTTCACATTATTACTGTTAGTCAGTTAAATGAAGTTCTGATTATATCTATTGTCATGAAAATCATCAACAGATAAAAACTAGTGCTTCCAAGTATTACTGTTTTTAATTATTCCAACAGTTGATTAATTGAAATTATGAATGAATTGACTGTTTTGAAAATAATCAGATAATTGAAATTAGGGTTTAATTATAACTATTTTTGACTATGTCAACTATCCAAGTAATCAGAATATTGCTATTATGTTTTTTAAAGCACAAAGCTACATAGTGGGCTATCTGTGCTCTGCTCAGTTCAAGCCTTATAAGTTTTTTCTTCTTTTTTGTACTACAAATTTGTTCTGTTTTGGTGATTTTGTTCAGAGGGTTTCATGATTTGAGGGTCTTAGATTTAATTTGCCACCAGCCTTACTCACTCTATCTTTTTTTTATGCCAAAGCTAATAAGGTTAAATGCTATTTTCTCTTAATCTTGAAATGCTGACTAGAGATAAAGCAACTATCTGGCAGCATCTTCCACCAACAGTTTTTTTTGTTTGGCTAGTATGTACTATGATTTGAGGAATACTGTACCAGTTAATTAAATGTATTCGATTAACAAGATTAATTACCCAGCTCTAGCTGTTTGGATGAATATCATATAGTTAACCATTATTGTAATGGTTAGGGTGCTCTACTCGCAATCTGCGGATTGCAGGCTCGAATCCTTGTCACATCAAACATGCTCGTCCTTTCAGCTGTGGGGACATTATAATATGACGGTCAATCCCACTATTCATTGGTAAAAGAGTAGCCTAAGAGTTGGCGGTGGGTGGTGATGACTAGCTGCATTCCCTCTAGTCTTACACTGCTGATTGTTGCAAAAAATGTAGTTTTGAATGAATATTGTCATGATTTCATGTAAGTAATTTTGGTTTTTGTTCCAGACCACCAGAAGATGCTGATGAGAGAACTCGTAAATCCACAACTTCCTATAACATAGAGTTTACCTTTGATTCTGATGTGCGCTGTGCTATTACTATATATTACTTCTGTACAGAGGAGGTAACAGCACAAGGATATTTGTGAGTATCTGTGGATCTCTTTGTGTTAGTTTTATGGGGACAAATTTCTTATAGTAGGTGTCCGTGACTTGTTGGTGATAAATGTCAACAATAAACGGACAGCACACAATCCACTTGTTTTAAA